AAACTCCAACTCTCTCAGCCTGTCATCACAGGGGAGGTGCTCCAGCCCTCTGATCATTTTTGTGGCTCTCCTCTAGACTCTTTCCAACAGGTCCATGTCCTTCTTGGACAGATGCCTCAGAGTTGAATGGAATACTCAAGATGGAGTCTCACGAGAGTGGAGTAGAGGGGGAAGATCACCTCTCTTGACCTACTGGCCACACTTCTTTTGATGCAGCCCAGGATACAGTTGGCTTTCTGGGCTGCAAGCACAAATGGCCAACTCATGTTGAGCTTCTCATCAACCAAGTCCTCCTCAGGGCCCCTCTCAACCCATTCTCCGCCCAGTTTGGGACTGCCCCAACCCACATGCAAGACCTCGCACTTGGCCTTGTTGAACTTCATGTGGATTGCACAGGCCCACCCCTCTAGCCTGTCTGGGTCACTCTGAATGTTATCCCTTCCCTCCAGTATGTAGACCACACCACTCAGCTTGGTGTCATCAGCAAATCTGCTGAGGGTGCACTCAATACCACCAACCATGTCACTGACAAAGACATTAAACAGTGCAGGTCCCAGTACCCTGAGGAACCCCACTCATCACTGGTGTCCACCTGGGCATCAAACTGTTGACTGCAACCCTTTGAGTATGACCATTCAGCCAATTCCTTGTCCACTAAATGGTTCATACATCAAAATCCATGTCTCTCCAGTTTAGAGACAAGGATGTCATGCAGGACAGTGTAAAATGCTTTGCACAAGTCCAAATGGATGACAACGGTTGCATTCCCTTATCCACCAATGCTGTAGAAGGCCACCAAATCAGTCAGGTACAATTTGCCCTTAGTGAAGCCATGCTGACTGTCACCAATCACATCTTCATTTTCCATGTGCCTTAGCATAGCTTCCAGGAGGATCTGCTCCATGGTCCTGCTAGGCACAGAGGTGAGGTTGAGTGGCCTATAGTTCCCCACATCTTCCTTTTTTTCCTTCTTAAAATTTGCCTCCTTTTCATACTTCTTATGCAGATTGCATGCTCAATTTGGAGGGCAGGAATCATTATTAACTTAACTAGAACTTCTGCTTTATTCCCCACAGCACATAAGGCTGGTCAAAGACAAGTTGGGCCACTCTGAGAACTGAGTATACAATAGCTACTGAAGCAGTTCATGCTCCATCTCAAGTATGGCCTAAATTCAAACCTGATTTATGTCTTGAAGCCAAGCCATTTGGACAGATGACCATGCTTACAAGCTTTCTGGTTGAAACCCACCATTGTGAGGATACCCTTTAGCTCTTGTTACTTTTCAGCAGGGGATCAGCCATGCCAATCCCCTAAAGCACATGTAAGGAAGCAGGAAGCCAAACTACTGGCATTGTCTCACTAGCAGCCAAACAAGTGGAATGTTAATTACAGAGCGTGTACTAGGGCTCTCTCAGGCCTGGCTTCTACCATAGTGGTGGAAATAATTAATTATGTAAATAAGTAATTATGAATCATTACATGAAGAAAGTAATTAACATTCACTGCTAAGTTATGCAGGTATATAACACAAACAAGGTCATCTGTTTATAACAGGCAGTACTTCACCCAAGAGCACTGGAAATAAGATGGCTGCTTTAGCACGGCAAGCTGATAGTGCTTGGTGTTAGCAAGGTAACAGGGGTATTAGCTATCCACAGCCTCACCACTGGGGTGCTGGCAACAGACCCTGACCGAACAGGCACAGGGGCACTGAAGGGCTTTCAGCAGTCTTCACTGTGTTGGTCAGGTGTGGCATCTCTCCCCAGAGACAGCTGTGGTAAGACCCAGAAGATCTGTGAGGCAGTAGTGTTGAGATCGAGCTCAGATCAGATCAGAAAGCAAGCCACATATATGCACCTTGGGGTAAAAAGGAAGCTGCAGTATACCCCAGTTATGTTTCTTCCTTCAATCCACTTCCAGTATCAGACGCTGAACTTTAATACTGGGTAGGATCTGGCAGACAACTGGTGGTCTTGCTATTTCAAAATGTCATGTCCAAATGTCATCCTTATAAAATAATTTCCAAATGAAAATTAGGGATATTTTTATGAAAAAAGTATTTGATTGCTGCATAATTTATTCTACACTTTCCCTAAGTAATCTCTGAGGGCATATGTATCTCAATTTAACAGACTGTATTTAAAACTTGAAGTTAGCACATGCTAGAACATATCTGTGGTATCTGTCATCATTCTTTTCAGGCTCTGCCATAGCTCCCACATTTCCTGAAGCCCTAAACAAGCGAGTGTATTCATCACACTTGTTGAAAATCCAAGGTAAAAAGTCCAAAACAACAAACTTGACGAGCCTGTCCTTTCACCTAGAGCCATACTAACTGATGAAGCTGTGATTCCCTGTCTTGATTCCCATAAATGCTGCAGCTGCACTAAGGGAGTAACTTTGTGACTCTGTGTTCGTGACCCAGGACACACGCTTTCTAACGTGTATTCTGCATAAATAATCTGTTCCTACTCACTCAACTCACGTGCTCATTTCTGTCTTTCATGGGAGAAATAAGCAAATATCATCAGGGAGATGTCCAGTACTTAAAAATTGCTGGATTTAATTCATACCTGCTAACAACAACTTGTGTCTGTATACACACCAGACAAAATCTCTGCTTCAGTTTTCTCCTTCTCCATATTGCTGCATTTATCAGAGTTGGTGAAGAAATTAAGTTAAATTCTAAATAAACAAATAATGGAGGAAACAAGCCAGACTTTTTTTCTATTCTTTCAACATTTGTTTCACATTTCCAGCCACTAATTCACAACACCTGAAGACAGTATATCATCAAATCTCTTTGTCAGGACAAAGTAATCTCTCTCTTTCATGGAACCCTTGAACTTTAAAAAAAAATAAAGCTCCTTTCTACAGCTTTATCATTCTTTTATGATTCTACAGAAAACAGTTTCATCTTTCTAATGCATTCTACCCGGGATTACCCCCAAGAGAAAGAAAACTACAGAGAACTGAGCTCCTGTGCTTTCACAAGCTGGGAGCACTCGCCAAAGCAGGACTTCCCATTGTTAATCTCAAAGGTAACCCCCCACAAGACTAGAAAAATTGCAATCCAGACCTTTCAGGTCAAGCAACATTCTTCCAAGTATCCCTGTTTACTCTCTCTGTAGAGCCAACCCTTTGCCTTAGCAGTCAATGCATTTCCAAGAGACTTCACCACCCAGTACTCAGCCTGATACAGCAAAATCTAAATAGCTGACTGTATCCCAGGGAAACTCCTGTTGAATGGATGTTTCATCCAAGCTCAGGTTGTATGCGTCCTACTCATGAATGTGTAAATTCTAGTCTAGATCACCTTGGATTTTTAACAGAGGGCATCTCAGATTTCTTAAATGCTTTTACAGCAGCTTGCTCAACAGCAAGAAAAACACAACCACAATCTGCCCCTGGGAACACTTCAGTGGTCTAGCAGAAGAGTGACCAATGAAAACAGAGCATTAGCCCATCTGCCTGCAACTCAGAAATTCATTACTCTTTTTTTTTTCCCTCGTGTCTAATGCAGACCTATATATTGCTTAGAATCAGTTCCACCTGTATACATACATTAAACATCTATGGCACACATTGGTATGTTTATATTAATATATGACACAATCTAGATATACATTCATTACTTACATCATAACAACAAAAAATTTTGGTCAGGTAGTGGTTCTGAATCTGTCTGTCTGGCAATTTATACCATCTTTGAAATGATCATATGAATACAATTCTCTGGCAGTGCTGCAGGTAGACAATTCTCTGTAAGCACCTTCTTTTCTTAGAAGCATAGTTCCAGATTTCCTTATTTGCAGAGCAGTTCTCAATACCTCTTTACAAGATGCATCATTCCACCAGAACAATTCATCCTTATCCATGCTTTCCTCCTGAACCATAAGGACTGAGTCAGAAGTTCAGCTCGGTGTAGACATAGTTTTGTTTATGGACACCCACTTTCAGCTCTGTGATGAGACTTTGAAGCTTTTTCCCAGACATGTTCTGTAACCTGTGCAGAGGTAGGCACTGCACAGGTAACATCTCTTACAGTGAGCAGGACTTCCTCATTCTGACTACAGGTATTTTCTGTCATTCTTTTGCCTGTGATGTAAGTCAACACACAGGCCTTCATCATCAGAAACCCCTTCTCCAACCATCATATACATTTCTTTCCAAGATATTTGAGTTCCAGGACCTCTCCCTATAAAACTAAGTTATTCCAAAGAGACAGTTTTGACAGGTCTTGAGGATGAGGCAGCCAAACTGCCTTCTCCTTCCACAGATCAACCCCTAAAAGCTAATGTATGGTAACAGTGGGTTCGGCTACCTTAAATTAAGCTCATTTCTCTCATAAAGGTTTGTTTTGTACATTTCTTTTCAATGTCACTCTGAATCCTCTCAATTGTTCGTTTCCTTCTCATACAAAATTGTATCATTACAAGAATCAACTTAAGTAGAAGAGAGTGTTTCCCAATGGTTAAGTCCTGAATATAAATGAAACTCTTCCAGATGAATGCCCTGTGAGTAGTGGAAGCCCAAATATGAAAAGTAAAGTAGATTGGTCCCATTTCACCTATCAACACAAAGTCTTGGAAGCCATACAAAAGATACCGTGACTGTATCTCTCAGAAACACACTGAATTATGACCCTTTTGACAAACCACAAATGCAAGCTTGGAAAGTACCTACACAGGGACACAGAGGTCTGTAACATTTAAAATAATGTGAGCATTTAACAGATGATGAGAAAAACAGTGATTTTTTTTTTTCCCCTTATTTTCAGGCTGTATTTCAACTTTGCAGGGGTTTTCAGTGTGCGAGGTGTGTTTAAACAGGGGTAGAGCTCAAGGAACAGTGCACAAGATTAGAAAGTTCCGTGTGGCAAAGTAATTACCTGGCTCTATCCAGGTGCTCAGGGAACTGGTCACAAATCAGCTGAAAACAGTAGTTCTCCATTCAGCATTATGAGTCGCCAAATGAGCTGACAGCTGGATCCCTACCTTGTCTCGAATCCCTTGTCTCATAACTTCTCTTTCAGCCTCCATCTTGGCATATTTGGCTTTCCTCTCCTCCTCTTCTTGCCTTAGGGCTTCCTGTCGTTCCTCTTCTTTCTTGGCAGCATCTGGGTCTTTCTCCTCATCCCCACCCAGCATCTTCCCCATGTCTTTGGTAGCCCCTAGAGAAAGCACAAGGAAATGTCAGCACTGTAAGAATGTGGGAAAACCACCACAATGCCAGGTGACTGAAGATTGATTTTGGAGGGTCTTTAATGCAACAGGCAGGCCATACATCCAGAAAGAAATTACACCGGGGCTAGGAAAGGGATTTGAAATCTTGATTGCAGGGATGAGTAATCACAGGCTTAACTGATGCCAGAAATTACACATCCTGTGACAGGTAGAAGCACATGGTATTAGCAAACATTTGGAGTTGTTGATGATTTCTACACTCCTACCATGGATCATAAAGAAGCAGCCTCTCTGCATGTCTCTGATCTAACCAACTAATGTTTAGTACATAGCTGGGATCGTGCCTCTGCTTGGTCCTCTTTCTACCCCTGCATGCACCTTGGTCTCAAGTTTTCAGCCCCTGTGTGCTCCTGAGCCATCTCTTTGTTACTGTGTAAAGCCCTTGCACAGGCATGCAAATGGAGAGGCTTCTTGCATGTCCCTCTGTACCCACAAGGCTGCATAAAGGCCATTTACACTGTATTTTAGAGGCATTTTCATTGGCAAATGACAGGCAATCATCCAGCTGGGGAGCAAGGCAGGGGCTGGAGAAGAGGGGAGGGCATTTACTGTGATACTTCATCATCAGGGCACTGGAGGTCTGCAGCAGGATCCAGCCTGGTTACATGGACAAAGTGAAGACACATACACTTTGGGAGCTGTGTTGGACTTCACCTGAAGCAGGAAAACATCCTGCATCATTTACTAAAGAAGGTACCTTCACCCTGGAAGAACAGCATTGTGTTTGCTCTTGCTTTCCACATCAGTTCTTGGGATGGTGATGGTGGAACCTTGGTTCTTACAGGGAGAAACATCTGCAGCCTATCAGGATGATTCCTCCTGAACTGCCCCGGAGATTATAGTTATCAGATTAACTATGTCCTCTAACAACCACCAAGGAATTTGTTGAGAGGTGGGCAGATCCTTTGGCTTTCCCCATCACATTTCTTTTCTAGGTCACATGTTTTCCCAGAGCCTTAAATTGAAAGCTGCCCTGAATCAAAAGCAACCCTCCAATACCCCAAAATGTGATAGTGAAATGTCCCCTTTTCATCTCCCATAGAGAAGCATTGGGAGACTGCTCATTTTAAGCTTGACAAGATCTGGTTGTTATAGAAGGGGTTTTTTTTGTCAGGTGGGAAATAATACCAGAAAACATAACTGTCTCCATTCAGCTAGCAAGAGCCAAGCCTCTTGGCACTTCCATCCTGTTGGAAAATGTGTGGATAAAGAGCGGAAGACACCCAGGAACCCCAGACAAACCACAGCTGGAATATTCATGGTCCATAGCTACTGTCAGCCTTCCTCTACTGTCATTTTGCATCCTCCTCTTCAAGGTCTAGATGATCTGTAAAGGTTCCTTCCAACTCAATACATTCTATGATTCTAGGGTCAGGGTAATCCAGGAATTCTTGCAACTTGAGGGCAAATTTACCCAGACCATGTGGTGATTTCTCTCCTGGGATGCAAGGAAGACTAACTGAAATTGCAAGCAAGCTAGCAGTTCATAGCAAGTAGAAAGGCAATGCAGACTAGTTGGGTAACACAACTTTATTGCAGGGACCTTCCTAAGCAACTTTACTGTGGATAAATCATTGATGACCAATGCCAGTAACACCTTAAAGTTCTTTACTACGCTCAACAGATATTTCCACTGATGATCAAACTGATTTGGGTTCAATAATCTATTAAGTTTATCTCTTTTAAGCTTCTCTCCACTGAGACATACCTGGACAGTGTAACACGCTAACTACTTATGAAGCAGAATTCAGTAGCAGAAAGATACTAGCTTTTTCCCTCTAAACACTACTTCTAGGCTATCATTAAGTTATAATGTCCACTCAGCTTATCATGTAAGGAATGAATTTGTGTAAACTTGTATTTATTTTATCTTGTAGACAAGAACAAGATTTTTGAATACTTTAGGCATTTGATTTTGCAGCTATTCAGTACACAGGACACCTACAAGAATGCAGTTTCAGGACTCACCCCAGACTCTCTTAATTCACCCCTGATTTCAAAGTCACCTTCTAAATGTGCGGAATTCTGCAGTGTGGTATCGCTGTTAACTAATTGGAAGGAAATGTATTATGAGAAGCAAAACTATACACTACATTTTAACTCTGATCTCTGTGTTACTTTTGGTACAGAAAAGCTTTTTTTTCTGTCACATTTGTTCTTCATCCTAAACTTAAGGCTTTGTTGTTAACATTCCTTGGATAACAGCTTCTGGTTTTAGTAGTTCAGCAGCGGAGGCTCCAGAGAATTCATTTGCATGCAACTGAGATGCTGCAGTTACAGGCAGAAGGAAATAGCAGAAGTTCTGTCCTCAATCCTGGTTTTGAAGCTTCCACAGAGATAGAGAGAAAGGACACACTTATCTTGTCTGTTCATATGATAAGCCTGGGCCTTTTTGTCTCCTTTCACACCATAACATCTACCTTGACATAAAGAGATGACAGATAGTGCCAAAGGATAAAAATCCCCTGAAGGATAAAAATCTTCCATGAGGGAAAGCGCCTCAGAGATGGTTTGTTTAGAAAACAAATGGCATGGCAGGCTTTCCAAACTAGAAGTCATTCCCTTGATCCATATGGGCTAAAGAACTAGGCAATCAGGTGTTAAGACAAATACTATGAGCACACTCAGGTACAAACTCATGTGAGATTCTCTACTTTAAGTTGTCACCAGCTGCCTGAAAAACAGTAATTCAGTTGTTGGGGAATGTGTGGGAGACATTCCCCAGTAAAACAGCTGGGAAGCAGGTCAGCTGTCTGGAAAGCAGTTTTGCAGTAAAAGGTCCTGGTGGACAACAAGCTGACCATGACCCAGCAATGCGTCCTTGCAATAAAGAAGGTCAACAGCCTCCTGGGCTGCATTAGGAGGAGCATTGCCAGCAGATTGAAGGAGGTGATTTCCCTCTATTCAGCTATTCAGCCCTCGTGAGACCAGATTGGAGTGATGTGCCTAATTCTGGGCTTCCAGATACAAGAAAGATACGGAGCTACTGAGTGGGCCAGCAAAGGGCCATGAGGACAATTAGGACACTTGGGGAGGAGAGACTGAGAGTCCTGGGACTGTTGAGCCTGAAGAAAAGAAAGTTCTGGGGGATCTCTGTAGTGTGCATAAATACCTGATGAAAGGGAATGAAGAAGAGGAAGCCAGATTCTTCTCACTGATGCCTAGTCACAGGAGAAGAGATAATGTGTGCAAACTGAAATATGGGAAATCCCATTTAAACATAAGAAAAAAAAAATTAGGGTTGCAGAAAGAGCCTATGGAGTCTCCACCTGTGCAGATATGCAAAACTTCATAGGCCACAGCCCTGAACAACGTGCTGTTTGTCACCCTGTTTGAGACTGCAATTAGACTAGACAACCCCTGTGGGTCCCTCCCAACCTTAGATATTTTGTGACTCTGCAAGACCTCGTAAGTGGTTTAAATGGTTTAAATTTTGCAAAGAAAAAGGTGAAGAGCACATATCCAAACAAATCCTGCATCTGAACTGAAGGAAAGCAAATTCTTAAACTACCTGACCTCTGTCAGAGGAGCACCACCTCCTATGACCTAAGCCTTCAATTCACTGACATCAGTCCAGCTTTCACATAGAAAACATAAACTCACATAATCAACTTGCAGGAGCAGTGCTCAATTTGTTTGATGTTAAAAAAAAAGGAAAAAAATCTGCTAAATATTGACATGCCACAAAAGGAACAGGATTAGGATTTTTAAGTATGACTTAGAGAAAGAGATTCTTGGGCATTCTTAATTAAGCGAAAGATGATGGAAATTTGCACACACCATTGCTTCAAGTAAGGTAATTATGTGAAATCAGAAGAATTTCTTCTGCCCAAATCTCATTTCATATTGCAGACAAATAGCACCCTATATCTGTCTTTCAAGAGGGCTGCAAATGTGTGTGCTAAGATCTCAGAGGATGTTCCCCTTCTCATTCACAGGTGTCAGAGGAAGCAGTGAGAGTTTTACCCAAAACAGGTATTCTCTGAGGAAATTTTGGAGGTGTTTTTTTGGTACTACTATTTGTGGTCAAACAGACAGGACAACTGATGTCTCAGAGTTTATAAATCACAGCATGATTTTTATCACATCATCCAAACATCTGGAGCTAACCACAGAGCACTGTCCCGGAGCAAGAATGGATCACTCACTATTGCAGCATCTCTTCACAGAAGCAGAACTAAGAATGTTTTATTGCTATCACTGGAGAGAGACCGTTTTCACCAAGGTCATACTGCAAAGCTTATGTCTGGTATTCAAGAAGTCCTTTCCCCATTTTAAGACTTATGAAAAAGGCAAATTTGCCATTAAGAAGTCTTATAGCAAACATTATAGGACTCCTTACTCTGTCCAGAACTCAGGATCTGATCACTCAAGATCTCAAATCACTGATTTGTCAGGAAAGGCCAGGCTGGCAGTTATCTGAAGACTTCACTAAACAAGTAATTTCATATGCAAATTTTCCCCAGTAGAAGTCAGATCTTGCCCAAGTGTTTTTGTCCAAATCCCTTAGATGGTACAGGGATGCTTTCAAATTATTCCCAAGCTTCACCTTCTGTTGAAGCCAAAATACACACCAATATGTGTGATACTTTTAGACAATACACACTGAACCTCTGTTTCCCCTGCTCTCAAAATATGGCGCTATATTACCAACCCGTTTACCTTCCTCCGGCAAAGTCATTACGTTTGCTGATTTACACCTCAATTAACTAGACTGGCTGAGAGAGCATTTCTCACCATCAAGGTGAAATCCAGTTCCCAACAGGGGTGGCTAGATTCAGGTTTCTGCTCAGAGATGTGTTCATGTGTGCTGAGTATCTGGCTTCCTACTACAGTAAACAGAAGCCCACTGTGACCTTCGGTTGCCACTGTCTACCACTTAAGAGTGAGGTTTCCTACAGAGCCTGAATCACAGCCCAGCAAATGG